TGGAATATGTTTCCTGGTTAAGATCGTCGCATCACGCTTTCCAGGAAATGCCTTTGCCATCATCAGACTCTGGGGCTTGGGTTAACAGAGTTGAACCTTCCAGGGGATCTTGGTTGCGTGCCATTCACGAAGTTACTAAGGCTGTTGTTGCTAAGGCGAGACGTGATCTGCAAGCATCTCGATGGGAGAAGCGTCTCCTGAACATGATGAAGAGTGAAGGCCTCCCGTCTGCCAGAGATGTGCCGCAGCCTGTTGCGTGGAAGAGTTTCAAGTGTTTTTTCTTTTTCACTGACAAATGCCCTCACTTGACGCCCACATTCGGGCTAATCATACTACTCTGTCAGGCGTGGCTCGGAGGCACGTTGCCGAGAATCAATGCCTTGCGTGTTGAAGAAGTTTTGAATCGAGAGCGCTGCTGGTCAGACATGTCACGACTTGGCGTCCGATTTGCATGGTGTTTCATGTTACGCAGGTGCCTCCTCACACTCAAGAAGTGGTGAAGGAGTTGGCAGAGAAGGAAACGCAGGAAAATAAACTTGCCTTCGAGCGTGGATAGTCATCGTCGCACGCTTAATCCCGTCTTGTATAGCCGCAGGCCCGATTCATCCAGCAACTAGGGGCCTTCATGCTCAGGCACAACAATTTTTGCATAATGTTCTTCTGGATATCACGGGCTGGTCCAGGAAGGCGCTGGATCAGATGAAGGCAGATGCCCCCCCCCCCCCGCACCAGGATCTGTAGACGGCATTTTCCTAGATTGGCCTCATGATAGGAACGGGTATACAGGTAGGCTGGCTTCTATAGTACCTCGCAGACTGCATCGCCGAGCTGTTTTTATTGCTTGTTTGTTTTGTGGCCACCGCCGCTTGGGGGACGTTCAATGTGCTGTAGAAGCTGCGTTAGAGCTCGTGCTACCTGAGGTTGAGATACGTGTCCTGTCCATAAGCATTTTATTAGATTCTGACGCTGGAGACCTTAGTAAGCCGTCTACTGTTGAGCTTTGGGCGGCTCATATTAAGGCAGGTAGAGTGGCTGTTTTAGGAGGGGGGGCCCCATGTGAAACATTCTCTGCGTCTCGGTGGAAAGATTGGGGCCCTCCTCCACTGATACCCTGGAATGCCCCATGGGGGCTGGCGGCTTTAACCCCCAGGCAGAGACTCCAAGTACAGGTCGCTAGTGATCTATATATGGCCACTTTAGAACTTCTGTGTGTTGCTGCAGGTGTTGGTGGTGCAGGGTGGGTTGAACATCCAGCGTCACCCACCTGGGAGCCTAGAGCAGTCCCTTCATGGTCCGTCCGACCTACCAAGGCTCTAGCTTCTGCGCCAGCGTGTTCGTTTACGGAGTTTGACCAGTGTGAGTTTGGCCAAGAAGGTAGAGCGCCCACAGGAATTCTGGCCGTCAGAATGCCTTCGCTTCCCACGCTCCTAACATCCACTCCAGGAGGAGGTAAGTGTAGCCACGGTCCAAGAGCCCACGATGTGTTGTTGAGCAAAAGGGCCGACGGCTCCTTCCGTATCTCAAGAAAAAAGGTGTACCCTGCAACTTAGTGTGATGTTTTAGCGCAAGCCATGCTGGACACGGTTCTGCCGAATATTGATTGGATTCTGTGAGGAGAATGACAGTGATCAGTGTGAGCTGCTCAAGAAATTCTTTGTTTCCACGGCTTCTATAGTTTCCGAGGCTCCTTGTATGGGCCCAGATTTTGCTGTTCCAAGATCCGGGAGGAAGCAGCCAACATATTCTAGGATTAGGTCGATTCGTGGCGCTGATAGGGACTTGAGCGATTCACGTGAGAATGATCTTGACAGTCACTCAGTTGCTATGTCATTCGCCAGGGAGCCCACGCCAGAGACCCCAGGGAACTCTCAAGAGATTCCCGACTCGCGTCATGTTCCGTCTGTTCCCCCTCCACCCCTTCCCCTTCTGTTATCAGAGGCCGTACTTACAACGATTGCGGCCAACAGGGCCGAAGCGGTGCGTCGGCGCAGGGAGAGAGTGGCCGAACGAAGGAGGCTTCCTATTTTTCCTTCAAATCTGTTTGGGCCACCTCCCGAGCTGCCGCCACCGGCTGCAGTCCATGAGAAGGTCCAGGCAGATCTCCACAGGTGGTTCAAGACCACCATCGCAGGAGGCGCAGGCTAGCTTCTTTGTTGTCTTTGTTGTTGGTATTGGTTTAGTGGGGCGGATGGAGGATGTCAGGATGAGTAGTTGTGGGGAGGGATGAACATGCTTGTGCAGTGTTAGGTCTCTCTCGTGCTGAATCAAGTCGGCACTCGGATTCCATATCTTGAGTCGGATGCCTAACCATTTTTTGTGGCCCTTCTAAGGGCCTACTCTGGTCTGCAAGATTATCATGTCTTGCACACCCCCGGCAGTACCGTCCTGAGTGACGGTCTTTCGCGGGTCACCGAGTTCCGAGTTCCGAGTTCCATGTCCCGCCGATCTACATAAACAAGCAAGCCCGCCCAACACAGTCACCAAACGGCCTGGGTGAGTGTTTTGGGGGCGGGCGCACTTTTCAGGCGACGGCCTCCTCCTCCTCCTCCTTCTCCTCCTTCTCCTCCTTCTCCTACTCCTCCTCATCCCTCCCCCACCCGCCCGCCAGCCCGTTAGGGCCCCGCCCACCGCCCGACCCGCCCGCCCAAACCGACCCGTCCTCTGGGGCAATCGTATGCTGCCTCGAGTTTGCGTCATACTTTAATGTCCCGCCCGCCCGACCGCCGCCCGCCCCCGCCCGTTGATTAGGGGCCCCCCCCACCGCCCGACCCGCCCGCACATTGGGGTCCGCCCGACTCCACCTGCCCGTTAGGGTCAGAGTGTGCTGTCATGATTGTGCGTCGTGCGTCAATTTCCAGCCTGCCCGATCCGCCCGCGGTCCCCCGCTGAATGCACTGTCCCCTGCAATGTCCCAGCCCACTCCTCCCTTGCCTCCTCTGGCCCAGCCTACGAGATCGGAGGCTCAATCTTGGAGTTCAAAGTTCGATAGAAGCATTGAAACTGGATATCGAACTGAAAGTTCGGAATTGAGTTGCGCAGTTCAATATTCAAATATCTCAACTTGGGAATCTAGAGCTGCACCCTTTCAATCTTTCAATTTCAAAGATTTCCAACTCCATAACTGAATTGGCGTCTACGAAATGGGGGTCTGAACTTGAATGTTGGGATTGCCAATTTTTTATTCTTTTCAATCGGCCGGCCACCAACCCACGCTTGGGTAAAAAAATACGGCCAGACGCCAAATCACTGAACAAACAAAAGCTGCCGAAAGCGACAACGCACAGCCACACATATATACGGAGCACCCCGCAGATGCGGATAAGAGCGAGGGGGCAGCGGGGACGTCAGCAGTCTGCGAGGCTTTGAAGAAGCTCGCCGCAGGCGCAACTTTATTCAAGCTATACAACGAGCCCGCCGCATGCGCCGATTTTTTGTTAAAACAATGTAGGTGGGTCGCGGGTTGGGTCGCAAATGGGTCGCGGGTGGGTCGTGGGTGGGTCGCGGGTGGGTCGCGGGCCGGGTCGCGGGTGGGTCGCGGGTGGGTCGTGGGTGGGTCGCGGGTGGGTCGCGAGCGGGTGGCGGGGGTCGCGGGTGGGTCGCGGTTGGGACGCGGGGTGGGTCGCGGGTGGGTCGCGAGGTGGGTCGCGGGTGGTCGCGGGCCGGGTCGCGGGGGGGACGACGACAACAACAACCAGCGGAGTCCTTACCACGGATCCGCACTTCAGCCACGCACCCAGGGACAATGAATGACCGTTCGGCCCCATCACTCTAATGTGTGTATATGTATGTATGTATGTGTATATATATATATACATATCGATGGCGATTCTTGTGGGCATTGGAAGAGAAGTTGGGTATGGTCTTCAATGTCTGCAGCCGCTGCTAGCCACAAACAGATATCCGCAACTACTGGCGGGAGACATCTATAGTTCAATTGTGTAAAAATGGGTATGCCATCGCCCGACACTAACAATCCCAAATCATTGATTCGGAATGGTATCACATTCTAGGCGGTTTATTGCTTGAAACACGGCAGCGTTGTCGAGGCACTCAGAGAGTTTCAATATGAATTGCCCTGGACGTGGCACTGCAGGCGCTGTCTTTCCAGCTCGTCGGCGTATCGACGCTGCTTCGGGAGATAAAGATAGTGTGTTCCTCTGGTGGTAAGACTGGAATAGAGCATTCAACATAATCAAGCCAGAAGGGCATCCGTATGTTGGCACTGTGGCAGCTTCGTGTCTCCGTGGTCGATCTACGAGCCACGGACTCTGCAGCGAACCATGTGTTTTGGTTATGGCGACGTCAGTCATTATGGAAGCAGCGCAGTGGGCCCGAAACTGGCCTCCTCCTATTCCTCCTCCTCCTCCTCCTCCGCATCATCCGCCTCCTCCTCCTCATTATCCTCCTCCTCCTTCTCTCCTCCTCCTCCTCCCTCCTCCTCCTCCTCCTCCTCCTCATCCTCCTCCTCCTCCTCCTCCTCCTCCTCCTCCTACTCCTCGTCCTCGCAATCACGACCTTCAGTGCGCGAGTACTGAAACCGTGTTGTATGCGGACGGCACAAATTTTGGTGGCTACTCGTCAAACGCCTCGCCAACGATACGTTGCCAATTTCGTATAATTCGGAGCACATTTTGGGCTGGAGTTGAACGAAACCCAAGCTGCAATATTGAGAAGACGGACAAATCCAAGAACATCGTCCACAAAGAGCAGAGCATGCAATCTACCTTGGTGGGTTACTGAATGTCGTTGGGAAGCCACGGACAGAACTCACGCGCCAGCTTTGGGAACCACGCGGACCTGTTGAACATATCAGTACTGCGTGGAACCGTGCGAATATGAGCAAACAGCACAAGGCACGTGTATTAGACGTCTTTATTTGTTCAGAACTTTTGCGGTTTGCAACAAGAAACGGAACAAAGAGACTGAACAACAGCAAGCAACTGAAGCCACCATAATCACAGCAATAAAACAATATGTACGATACGAGGTACAAACAACACGCGACAACAAGAAGCGGGCAGAGCAAAGCTGGCAGACATCAACATCGACTCGGATCGATCGGATCACAAAGTGGCCTCGATGGGCGCCCGCAGCTCCGACTTTTCATCCGATGACTGCGCTGCACGAGGTCGCCGATACAGCGTCCACTTCGTACACCGCCAGCAGGTCCCGGCAGATGTCCTCCAGGTCGGGTCCGCCCGAACTGGCCCCGAGGCCGAGGAAGTCCTCCAGGCCTTGGGATGACAGACAACTGCATCAACCCAAGCTTTCGAAGCTCCGCGCGGATTTCCCGGGTTGGGGTTGCGCCCCCAAGCGAGAAACCCGCACGTACCTCAAACAACTTTGAGGGCTGTTTTTTTTGTTCCTGCTCGCGAAGGATCAGCTACACGTTCTGAGCGGCTATTTCTGCTCCGCCACTCCTGTCCGGCCCAGCTCACCTCCGCCGGGAGGGGGTTCTGGCCAGAGGCTTTCAAGGCGGATCTGGGCGTCCCCTCCTCCTCCTCCTCCTCCTCCTCCTCCTCCTCTGCCTCCTCCTCCTCCTCCTCCTCCTCTTCCTCCTCCTCCTCCTCCTCCTCCTCCTCCTTCCGTGCCCGCGCTCGCTTCCAAACTGACCCCCCCCGTTGCTAACTGGCACCTGCACTGGCCTCGTGCCCGCCGGTGCCCGCGGACCCAGAGCTTGGCAAGGGCCGGCGGCTCTGGGCCCGAGTGGGAGGAGGGGGAGAAGGAGGAGGGGGAGGAGGAGGAGGAGGACGAGGAGGAGGAGGAGGAAAAGGAGGAGGAGGAGGAGGAGGACGAGGAGGGGAGGAGGGGGACGAGGAGGAGGAGGAGGAGGAGGAGGAGGAGACGAGGAGGGAGGAAGAGGAGGAGGAGGAGGAGGAGGAGGCGGAGGAGGAGGAGGAGAGGAGGGGGGAGGAGGAGGGGAGGAGGAGGAGGAGGAGGGGGAGGAGGAGGAGGGATGAGGAGGAGGAGGAGAGGAGGAGGAGGAGAGGAGGAGGAGGAGGGAGGAGAGGGAGGAGGAGAGGAGGAGAGGAGAGGAGGAGGAGGAGGAGGAGAGGAGGAGCAGGAGGAGGAGGAGGAGGAGGAGGAGGAGGAGGAGGCCAGCCCTGGGACCAGCCTTCCGCGTCGAGTCATGTTCGCACGGTCGCGGGGCCCCACCCAGCCCAAGCCTCCGACATCATGTTTTTTTCATACCGAATCGTTTTGACGGTCCCGGGGACCAGTGAGGGCCCCCAGCAGCGAAAGAGGCCCGTCGTGCTTTTTTTCACGACGCGAGGAGGTCTGGGAGGGGAGGGCCCTGGGGAGCCCGAGCGCGGCGAGGCACACCTTCAGGGACCCCCCACTGGCTCCACGACGACCCGTTTGGCGCCCAAGAGGGCGGCCAGGAGGAAGAGGAGGAGGAGGAGGAGGAGGAGGAGGAGGAGGAGGAGGAGGAGGAGGAGGAGAAGGAGGAGGAGGAGGAGGAGGAGGAGGAGAAGGAGGAGGATTGGACCCCCTTGAGCAGGCAGCATATCGCGGCCCCGAGACACGTGCGCGGACGAGTGGCATCCACGAGAGGTCTCTTGGCAGAAGCAGAGGGGCCCATGACATCTGCGAGGCAACACTGCCCAGTCCGTGATATTCGCATACACGCACGCGCACACATGCACACACGAACCCACACACACACTCAGTCCTCGTCGTCCTCCTCCTCCTGCTCCTCCCGATTCTGCTGCTCTTCCTCCCCCCCTCTCCCTCCTCCTCATCCGCGTCCCCCTCGTCCTCCACTCGCCGTCGTCCTATTCCCCCTCCGCCTCCTCCTCCCCTCCTCCTGCTCCTCCTCCTCCTCCTCCCCCCTCGCCCCTCCTCCCTCCTCCTCCCTCCTCCTCCCTCCCTCCTCTCCTCCTCCTCCTCCTCCTCCTCCTCCTCCTCCTCCTCCTCCTCCTCCCCCTCCTCCTCCTCCTCCTCCTCCCCCTCCTCCTCCTCCTCCACCTGGGCCTCCGCCTCCCGTGTCGATGGACTTGGAAGGGAACGCCGGATGCTTCGTGTGCGGGAAGCCCTTCGCACCGTCTCCAGCTTGGGCGTGGCTTAATGGGGGGGTCATAAATGGGGGGGTCAAGAAAGGTCCCCTTTCGTGCCCCTTTCGGGCCCCTCTGGAGCCCCAGGGGGCTCGTTTAGGTACCGTTTGGGTACCTTTTCGGACCACCCTCGCCGCCCCCCCATTTATGACCCCCCCATTACGCAACGCCCAACCAGCGGAGCACCCGTCAGCCCCCGGGAGCCTGGGCAGGAGACACATCCAGGCCGCCTCGGCACGCCTCCGATCGAAAGGACTATCAAGCCTGCTCGGGTGCTGATGTGTTTTGTATGCCAAGCGCAGGTAGCTTTCGCCCTCCATGGGGCTCTTCAGCCGAAATGGCACTGCACGGAAAGCATCGGATGAAGGGTCGCTCGCATGTACAGTTTTCTAAAAAGGTCGCTCGCGTGTACAGTTTTCTAAGGTCGCCAACCACTGGAGCAGGAGAACCCAACGAGGACGCCATCTCCGAGGCACTCAAGACGTTCCTCACCGACGAGGAGCACGGCGACCTTGTCGGACAGCTCGAGGGGGCCCTCCAAGACTCAGTCAAGCCGCCGCCAGCACGCACAGCGAAGCAAGCACTCCAGTCGGTGCTATCAGTCCTCACCGACAGGGAGAGAAAGTTCCAGCAGATGGTTGACGAAGTCGCAGAAGCGCAGCAATGGCTCAATGAGGCAGTCGCACGGCAAGACCAGGCCGCCCTCAAACTCGTCCATGCACAGAATGCTTGCGCCAAAGCACAAGAAGACCACCGTGCCAAACTTGCTTCAGCAGCTGCGCGAGGAGCTGCAGTACTTGGATCGCCAGACATCTTCGATGCCGACAGCACAATTTGAAAATGTCTCAGCCTACGATGACGCCACCAAGACCCAGATGGAGGAATGGAAGCGGGACGTCGATGTACGCGTCACGGCGCTCAACGACGGCCAGGAGCACGTCCGCGAGATCCTACGCAAAGCCAAGGAGTCCGCCAACAACCCCGCCAAACGAAAAAAAACGCCGCTGGTGCCTTCAGCTAGTGGTCCTCGTCCTCCAGGTGGGCAACAACATGCGCAACCACCAAGAAAACCTGAGCCACCACCCGCTACTGCAGCACCTGCTGGACCAGCGGGCCCAGCCTGCTGCTGACGATCCTTCTCAAGCTGATCGGAAGACGCCGCCGGCCTCGTCGAGACCGCCGCCAGGGCCCCCGAGATGGCTCGCGCCGCCAAGGGAGGAGACACAATATAACAACCACAGCAGCCAGCTGTAGCCGCCGCGGGACCTCAGCAACCTAGGTAACCCCAACACCGAACACGCCAATATCCATGTCCTCTTCGGCAACATCGCCGAGTGGGGACCGCATACCGCTAACTACCGCCGCACCCTCGGCCACAATTACCTCTACGACCACCCTTCGGGTGATGGGGGAGAGGGGGGAACTAACATCTGACTCAATCGATCTCACTATCGACCTCACTCACCGGGACACCACGGGGCACCACGGGCCACCGCGGGACACCGCGGGACATCTCTCGATCTCACTGTTGGTCTCACTATCGATCTCACTATCGATCTCACCATAGGACACCACGGGACACCACGGGACACCTCGGGACACCAAATCGATGGGGGGAGAGGGGGGGACCAACCTCTGACAACGTCTGACTCAATCTATTTCACTATCGATCTCACTCAGCGGGACACCACGGGACACCACGGGACACCGCGGGACACTTGTCGATCTCACTGTCAATCTCACTATCGATCTCACTCAACAGGACACCACGGGACACCACGGTCTCACGGGACACCACGGGACACCGCGGGAAACCTCTCGATCTCACTATCGGTCTCACTATCGATCTCACTATCGATCTCACTTAACGGGACATCATAGGACAACACGGGACACCTCGGGACACCACATCGATCTTAATATTGATCTCAGTATCGATCTCACCATAGGACACCACGGGACACCACGGGACACCACGGGAACACTCGGGGCACCACATCGATCTCACTATCGATCCCAATATCGATCTCACTATCGATCTCACTCAACGGGATACCACGGGACACCACGGGACACCTGTCGATCTCACTATCGATCTCACTCAACGGGACACCATAGGACACCACGGGACACCTCGGGGCACCACATCGATCTCAGTTTCGATCCCAGTATCGATCTGACTATCGATCTTACTCAACAGGATACCACGGGTCACGACGGGACACCCGTCGATCTCACTATCGATCTCACTTTTTGGGACACCACGGGACACTGCGGGACACCTCGACGCACCACATCGATCTCAATATCAATCTCAATATCGGTCTCACTATCGATCTCACCATCGATCTCACTCAACGGGGCACCACGGGACACCACGGGACACCACGGGACACGTCACCGCGAGCCACCGCCGGACGGACGGACGGACGGGCGGGCGGGGGAGAATTATTTGTCTTGACTTCGCCTAGCAAAGGCGGACACTACGGGACACCACGGGACACCACGGGACACCGCGGGACACCGCTCAAGCCACCGCCGGACGGACGGAGGAGAAACATTTGTCCTGACTTCTCCCTAGCAGCGGCGGGCACCACGGGACACCACGGGGCATCGCAGGACACTGCGGGACACCGCTCAAGCCACCGCCGGACGGACGGAGGAGAAACATTTGTCTTGCCTTCGCCCTTGCAACGGCGGACACTACGGGACACCACGGGACAGCGCCTCAAGCCACCGCTGGACGGACGGAGGAGAAACATTCGTCTTGACTTCGCCCTGGTAACGGCGGGTTCATTCCTCTCGCGCGCCCACGCAGCTTCGCCTCGCCCGCACCCGCGACACGAACGAAAAGAAACGACTTCCCCGTTGGGTGTCCCCGTCCCGCTGCGATCTCACCCCCCAACCTCCGACAACTTCGTCGCGCTGACGAAGACCCATGTGGACGCGAAGTGCATCCAAGACCAGGTCGGGCAGCTCGCCATGGATGGATGGAAGCTCGCAGTCACACCGCAATGCCGACACACAAGTTAGACAAGGGACGCACGGTGGCGCGTGGATCCTCATGCGCAGGGGCATCGCAACCACCACCTCAGAGGGCTACAGGGACTACAGTGGAGGCCCGACCACAAGAAACCTTCCACAAGAAACCCAGCCCTGAGACCCCAAGACGTCCATGGAATTTGGCGTGGGAACGTTACGCTTCCCATGGCAGCGGCATCGAAACTCAAGAAACCCAGGGCAACCTGGACGCGCGCAGGGTGTTTCTTGGCATGGGCCTCCACTGTGCTACGTCCACGCCATACGAGGCAGCCGCTCGTAGGCTTGTCGCTCAGCATCCTGCGCGCCAGGAGCGGCGACATCGTCGTCGCTGCAGGCTGCCG